ATGCATTGTTTTTCGCGGATTGCGGATTGTGGATTGTAGGTTCGCGACTAAAAGTAAAGCAGCGAATTAGAGTCGTGCCTGTGGCTGTGTGTCTTATGTTTGTAACTATTTTTAGCCTGAAGATCAAAGCAATTGATCAACAAGAATGTCAGGCTAGTGCAACATTGTCTTCACTAACAGATTAACAACAAATGCAGATATGTAGCGGAGAAACCGTTGAGGGAAATGTGTTTACGATCCACACAATGTCTCACTCTCCCGTCCCGTCCCGTCCCGTCCCAACCCATCCCACATGTGGGCTGGGGAGCAACTGTTTTTCGCACGTACCTTGCACGAAAATCGCCAGCAGAAGAACCAATTTGGTAGCTTCTTGAGAGCCCTTCACTCCAGTTGGGCCTTGCATTTGGCCAGTTTCGGTTCTAAACGTAGTCCCCATGGACTTTATTTCAATGCTGGACAAGTGCGGAAACTACGGGAAGTTTCAGGTGGTGATCCTCTTGCTCTATGGCTACACAAATATTCTCGGATCGCTGCACTATTTCTCGCAAACTCTCATCACCTTTACGCCCGAACATTGGTTAGTCGCACAGTCCAACTCGAAACCAAGGTGCAAAGTGTATTCATTGAGTCCCCTCTTTAAAGGTGTGCCCACGAAGATCTTGAGGGACTTGCTGTGGAGGAGCTGCGCTCGGTGTATGCGAACATCTCGCAGCCCTCCTGCACACTCCTCGAAGATGTCATCAATGGAACGGGCATTGCCGCGGCTCATGGCGTCTGCACCGAATGGATATTCATGCGGGAGAGTGGCTACGAGAGCATCACCACAGAGGTGACTAGTCTTTGAATGTGGATTGATCATCCCTCCAAGTCATCATCACCTGCCCTCCCTTTCACTTTTAGCTGAATTGGGTCTGTGACAAATCCCACCAGCCCGCCCTCGGCCAGTCCCTGTTCTTTCTGGGCTCTGTCGTGGGCACCACGACCTTTGGCTTCCTCTCGGATCACATTGGTCGCCTGCCCTCCCTGCTGCTGGCCACCCTGTGCGGGGCGGCGGGTGACTTTATGACATCCTTTGTCTACTCCTTGCCATGGTTTGCCGTTGCCAGATTTGTGTCGGGGCTCTCCACGGACACCATGTACTATCTAATGTACATCTTGGGTAAGTACGAACATTGGACTGCTCGTGAATCTGAGAATACGTGTCCTGTATTACGCAAGACTCGATAAAGTCGACGACTTTTGTGTTCGTTCATGTCGACTTGTATTAAAACCTGATCGGACGAGAAATGTCGGGAAAAAAAAACCTTGATACGCGAGCCTTTGAAAGAATTTAATCATATCTGCGACATTTTTCCAATCAGATTCGAATTGTCAATTTTTGTACATCAAAAGACATTTTTGTCAGAATTGTCCAGATTTTTTTAAGTGTACTTTCATGAAAATTACATAGCATACTTTCGGGGCGGATGGAGTAAATTCAAAAGTATCCCACATTTTATATAAAATTCGTAGCATGCTTTTGGGGCCGACCAGATCGAAGTTGCGCTACAATTGGATTGCGCACTTTTTGCACCGCATACTTTTATTTTACTCTTGAAGTTCGCGCAATTGTAAATTGTTCACTTTGTTGTTGTTGTAGCAGCTGTAATTTGTTGCCCAATAACAACAACAATGTTGTTGTACAAAAACTTTTAATTTGGAACACCAGGCGAACAGGAATCAGCAGAAAGTAACTGGGATTTTGTTGTTTCACTGAGAAAAAAGCTGACTGCTATGACACTCGACGCGAAATGAATAGATTGACTTTCACTGTGTGAAGGGCTGACTGCTATGAAACTGATCGCGAACTTTAAAAGTCTTTTAGCACCGACAATTGTAGTCCGATCAGGAGGTGGGACTTATCCACGTGATCGGACGAAGCTCGACGAATTTGCCGAGTTCTTATAAAGGACCAAGTATCAAGCTATAAATACTAATCTTTCTCTGCTATGTGTCCTCGTGATAGGACGAAAATCGTGAATTTTCTTGGATCCCTATAAAGGATCACAGATCAAGGATACTCTCCTCAGTGATAAATACCTACATTTCTCGAAAATTTCTCCCCCGATCTGGACGTGGTACGGGTCCACGTAACTGAACAACTATCGTCGACTTTATTGAGTATTTTTCAAGGATTAAGCATATTTTCCACAGTCAAATATACTAATCTAAACTAACTAACGTTATACGAGTCCTCTCAGTCGGCAGGACTTTCCCTATCGCTTTACATTCAGGAACTCCAGAATATTTGTTTTACCGCTTGAAAAGCGTAGTCTCTAGTTCGATCTAGTCGTGTCCCGCCGTTTCTTGTTCGGGGGAACATCCTTGATTGACGGAGCCCTTAAAACGGGTCAAGGATATTTTCCCACACATGTGTACTTAATTTGTATCGCTATTTCTAAGCCGATATAAGCTTGGCAGGCTTTTTTGTAGTCGCCAGTCTGTGCACCCTGGATTGTTGTCAAGGATATTTAATTATTAAGGATATTTTCTTATTTTTTATTTTCTTTGCTGTTTCATGTCACATCTGCTCCTATGATGCCTTCTCGTAGTAATGTAAACATCCCTGATTTAATAGAGTCCTTTCAAGTTACAAAATTGAATTTTTTCTTACTTTCATACGGTCGTAATACATCCATTACCTTTCCCTTTTTATACCCGGTACTCGAAGAGTAAATAGCGCATATTGTATTTGTGGGGAATAACGGTATGTAACGCACAGAAGGAAACGTTTCCGACCCCATAAAGTATATATATTCTTGATCAGCATCAATAGCCGAGTCGATAGAGCCATGTCTGTCTGTCTGTCTGTCCGTCTGTCCGTTTTGTTTGGCGGCTAGTTGTCAGAGACTATAAGAGCTGGAGCCACCAAATTTTGGCTCCAGACTGCTGTATGCTCACACTGAAACCAGTGTATTTCAAAAATGAGCCACGCCCCCTTCCGCCCCCGCAAAAGGGCGAAAACCTCCCAAATCTACAATCAGATCACCAAATTGGGATCCGATCGGATCATTATTATAGCCACAATGGAGAAATTAATTCCCAGTGGCTAAACCCACCCTGTCCCGCAGCTTTTGTTGCTCTTTTTACATTCTCTCATTCACACTCTGCTTCTGCTTCACTCGGCCCCTGCCTCTGCCCTCCCCCCCCCCCACTATATTTGTTTTTTTTGTTTGTGTGCGGGCGCTGACTCTGCCTCTGCCTCTGCCGCGAGTCTGCAGTGTGTGGGTCTAGGGAAGGGTGTGAAAAGTGTTGTAGGTGTAGATGACAGATGAAGAAAAAATTTAAAATTAGACAAATAACCGCTAAGGTGCAGATGTAGTCCTGAGTGCCGGGTATAAAAGTTGTGACGCGTAAAAAGCGTCTCACACGTCCCTTCTCGTTGCAATTCTGTTTTCATTCCTGATTTATAAGAACTGCGTGGTAGTTACTATAATCCTCAACTTATCCGCACTTTTCTAGTGTTTGAGTACCTGAGTCCCAAAAGTCGCACCTTCGGCCTGAACATCATTCTCGCTGTCTTCTACTGCTTTGGCCTGATGACATCTCCCTGGGCCGCCATCTGGATTGGTAACTGGCGTCGCTACCTCTGGCTAGCCTCGCTGCCCGCTCTGGGAGTCCTCGTGTATCCGCAGCTCATCTGCGAGAGCGCCCAGTGGCTGCTCACGAAGAAGAAGTACGACGAGGCGGTGGCCTGCCTCAAGCGAGTGGCCAAATTCAATGGCAGACAGGTGGAGGACTCTGTTTTCGATGAGTTCGTGAAGCACTACCGCGAGAAGACAAGCGAGGAGGAGAAAGTGAACAGCCAAGAGGACACTTTTCTGGGCATGTTTAGGACTCCGCGTCTTCGTCGGTTCACGTTGACGTTGCTGCTGAAGTCGTCAGTATATCAGTATTTATCACCAAGAATCTTTTAAAGAATTCCGTTTTGCAGGGTCATAATCACGCTCTCCTGTGATGTAATCAACCGAAACATGGAGGGCCTGGGCACGTCCCCCTTCAAGCTGTTTTCCTTAACTTCGATTGCCTATCTGCCGGCCGGCGTGGCCATCCTGCTGCTGCAGAACAAGATCGGACGTAGAGGCATGGCCTGTGCTGCGCTCTTTGGGGGTGGCATCATCACCACGACGACGGGCTTCCTCATAGCCTTTCTCGATCCACAGCAGCATACCGTCCTGCTGGCCATCATGGTGGCCCTGGGTCGCTTCGGTGCCACCGTCTCCTACGATGCTGAGATCCAGTACGCGGCAGAGATCATCCCCACGAGCGTGCGGGGCAGAGCCCTCTCCAACATCCATGTGGCGGGCCTGGCCTCCAGCTCCCTGGCTTTCTATGTGATTTACTTATCGCAGTACTACAAACCTCTGCCATCGATCTTCATCAGCATTCTGATGTTCTTTGGGGCTGGCTTATGCCTCACCCTGCCAGAGACCTTGGATAAGTGTGTACTTCCAGGAATATTTTTTAATAAGTCGTACAATAATTCCCTTTTCAACTGCAGGAAACTGCCCGAAAACCTAGCAGATGGCGAGAGTTTTGCGTTGGATGAAAGTTTCCTGCACTTTCCCTGTTTTCACCGCAAACAAAATACCGAACAAAATGCCTAAAATATATGACTGAACGATGAGTTGTGGCTTTTTAATATTTATAATTGAGACTAAAGTGGCAGGGGTGCTCCAACTGCGTTGCATATATTATATTATAGGCGTATTATTATAATCCGATAACTGCTGATTGCATTCATGATTACACTCATTTTCACAGCCAAAAGTTTGCCATATATTTTCCATCTGCTGTGACGTCACAACCGAAGCTGTTGCCATAATAATAATACAACAAAAGATAGGGGAACGGTAGGTAGGGGTAGGGCTGGTAGTCCGTCAACAAATTGCATCGCATGCTGGAAATCGGCGAACCCAAAAATCTATATTTATCTCCTCCTGAGTTTTTCTGAGTTTTGATTTCTACTACCCCTCAATAGAGGAGTTTATACAAAATATATTTGGAGACACAAGACACAAATTAGGAAACAGATTTCCTTTTTGGATTTTTCATCAGAAGATGTCTATACCAGAGATATGTCCACCCTTCGTCAGTTCAATCACCTGCATTGCCGAATAGACTAAAATCCTAAAGTTCCATGCTCCAAAAAATATCGATATTACTTTCCACTTGTCACAAAACACATTTTGATCAATTTTGTGAGACTGTTAATTGTTTCTAAACGTATACTAAGATCGGGAGAGATGACTTGTCCTTCTTCAATCACACAGATAATTTGGGGTTTAGGGTTTGAATTTCCATCAAGTGTTCCATGATCTAGCTGTCGCTAGACTCCCAGTTGGATTTGTAGTATCTAATCCCCCTGATCAGGCAAAAACACTGCAAAACTGGTGGCACAGGCAGGAAGGAATGTAATCAATACAGAAATCAAAGAACAACCTCCTGTTACCTGGTATAACGATAGTGAAGAGCAGCGCAAAGGGACAAAAAATGCTCAGAATAAGGCCCACCAAGAGCATGTTGCTGTTCATCTGCAGAAACAACAAACAAATTAGCGAATTAATCAATCTACTCACTCTACTGGCAACCACTCACCCTCGATATGCCAAACAGGATCAATATCCCACTCAGTATGTGCAGGATCGAGGCAACAAACAGGACACAACAATACAAGAACCAGGCTATGTCGGGATCGTGGATGCTAAGTCCTTTCGGCGATTGGCGTTTGCTTATGCAGATGATGGAAATGAGTAGGCAAGTCGGGCCGAGGACCAGGTTCCATCCACCCAAAAACACGGAGATAGCTCTATCACTCTTAGAACACATTTTTGGGGTAAGTTCCGAAAATGGTAGAAACAAAATCTGACTACCGAAACTGCCAACGAAAAGATTACTACGATCGTTGAAGGGAGAGCATCCTCCATTCGATACATTCTCTCTGCTGTACGTATAGCAGAGCCCCCACATGCTTTTGTTTGGCTACATTTGATTCGGATTCTGAATCGAGACGAGACGAGACGAGACGAGACGAGAGCATCTCAAATCCAACTCTACTTTCGTTCCGTGCGGTTGACATTGCAATTCCGCGGCACACAACACTCGCAATTAACGACACTGAACGAGCAGCGGTCACTGACTGGAATTATTCCCTTATTTTCTATACCTCTATAAAGAGACATTCAGGTGCAGCAAGTGCAGAGACCCAAAAGTCTGTTTCTTATCGCAAAATATTGAGCCATTTAGCTGGCGGCAGCTTTAGTGATTAGAAGCGGAGGCTGTCAGTCGAAAGCTACGGCTCGCATGTGTAAGTTGCAGTCCGGAGAGTGTAATCAAAACAAAAAACCCAAAAAAGAAAACAACACAAGTGATTATAAGTGTAATTGAATTATTCAAAGCCATGAATTCGGGATGATAATTGCTGTTTACCTTGTGTCATTTGTGTCCAGCAATAAGCCGCAACAATAAATAGAAAATAATATAGTTGGAGTTGCATCAAATGGAGTTACGTACGTTGCATAATGAGCTATAAAATCGTCCGTTCTGTGCCCTCAAACCGCATCTGTTTTCCATTTCTCTGATGAAATGTTTCAGCTGTCAAACATCATTTATCCAAATTGTTTCTGAGCTCAAACTGAATCAAGGGGGAAGCTCAGTCGCCTGGCTTTCCTCTGCGCATCTACTAATTGCCTTTAGTAATTAAAAACGCAAAAGATGAGCAGAGATTCAGTGCATTTCTTTTCATTTCCTCTCAGCGTGAGCTCGAGGGCAGAGTGAATGCAAGTGGTGCGAGTGGTGCGAGTGGTGCGAGTGGTGCGAGTGGTGCGAGTGCAAAGGAACACAATGCTGGAGGTCGATAAAATTCTGGAGAAATGCGGCGACTGCAATCGGTTGCAGCTGCTGATGCTGCTGCTCTTCTGCCTTATCAATATGCTGTCTGCCCTGCACTACTACTCCCAGACGATCATCAGTTTTGTGCCCAAATATTGGTAATCCAAGTACACTTCCTGCATGACTCAGAACTGATATTGATCATACGCTTAGGTGCGCGGACGGGCTGCCAGCTGGCGGCCAGTCACCGAGTGAATCAAGCTGCTATGGAAATGGATCCCTCACCACTTGCCACAGCTACGACTACGAGTTGTTTATGGGCTACGAGAGCTTCACCTCGGACATGAATTGGATCTGCGCGGACGCCTGGAAGCTGACACTTGGCCAGTCCATGTTCTTTGTGGGCTCCGTCGTGGGCACCCTGGTGCTGGGCTTCCTCGCGGACGTGGTCGGACGTCTGCCCATTCTCGTGCTGGCCAATATGATTGCCATGGTCGGGAATCTACTCACCATTTGGGGCACCAGTCTCCCGCTCTTTTGTGTGTTTCGTTTGGTCTCTGGCTTTGCCACGGACAGCAACTTTGTGATGATGTACATACTGGGTGAGTGCTGGCAGGACCTCTATGTAATCCCCTGCTAAATGAGTCCTTTAGTTATGGAGTACATGCGTCCCACCCTGCGCACAGTGGGGCTCAGCCTGTGCATTGGTTTCTTCTATTGCCTCGGATCCATGGCTGCTCCCTGGATTGCTGTGTTGATGCGCAGCTGGCAGGGCTTCCTCCTGGCCACCTCGCTGCCCTTTCTGCTGGTGCCGTTCTTCTATCTCATTGTGCCCGAGAGCATTCAGTGGCTGATCTCCAAGCAAAAGTACGACCGAGCCGTTGTCTGCCTGAAGCGCGTGGCCAAGATCAATGGGCGGCAGGTGGATGAGAACAGCTTCGAGGAGTTCATCGAGGAGTGCAAATTCAGTCAGCAGCACACCAAAGCCAGTCCCAATCTGTTGGATCTCTTCAAGACGCCACGTTTGCGGAGGAACACGCTCATTTTGTTCTTTAAATCGTGAGTAGCTTTAGTCACAACTGATTTTTGTTTTGATTACTCTTTGGGTTCGTCCATTTAGCATGGTCATTACCCTCTGCTATGATGCTGTTTCCCGCAACGTTCAAGGCCTTGGCATTTCGCCATTTCTGATGTTCTCGCTGAGCGCCACAACAATTCTGCCCGCCTGTCTGCTGATCATCGCCCTGCAAGATCGCATCGGACGCAAGGCCATGGCATCCATATCGCTGCTCCTCAGTGGCATTTTCATCTCGGTCACTGGTGGCATACTCTTTGCTGCCCCAGCCACAGATAAGAGTGAGTGCAGCTCCACCAATGCCGGATGTATTCTTGAACATTCCTTCTTTCTGCTTGCAGCCACCACTCTCCTCGTCAGCCTCTCAGTTGTGGGTCGCTTTGGGGTCACGGTGGCTTACAATTCCGGAGCTCAATATGCCACGGAGCTGATTCCCACATGTGTGCGTGGCCAGGGCGTGGCTGCGGTGCATGTGGCAGGCTACGCCTTTACCTTCTTCAGCGCCTTTATACTTTACACCCGCAGCATCTTCTCGCCCCTGCCGGAGCTCATTCTGGGACTGATCTCCCTCCTCGGCGCCTGTCTGTGTCTGCTGCTGCCAGAGACGCTTCATCGCACGCTGCCCACATCCCTGGAGGATGGCGAGAACTTTGGCAAGAATGATCGCTGGTTCTCCTTTAGCTTCACGGAGCAACGCACACAATCGGCCACCACCTTGGCCTCGGGACACAACACCAAGAACTATTCGAATTCCACGGACTCTGCGGCTTACTTTTGATTCGTTTTTAAGATGGGATTCAAGCATTAGAACCTTAGAACCATCTTTAAAAGATCTCCCACCCTCAATTGAATAAACATAAAGATAGTCACACAGTCTGGGATGGGTTTTCCTTTATCTAGATTCGCGTGACCATTGTTTGGACAGATCAAGCTCCGGCACATGGCATGCCCCTGTTTCTATTTGCTCAACAGCTCGGATTTCGGTAGTTACTCGACTATAAAACCATAAAACAAACACCTTTAAAGATAGGCAGCTCCTTAGGCATACTCTCCACTGGGCAAACAAAGACGTCTGCTGAGAAATCTCTCTCGCTCTCAAACACTTTCTTCCGAAAGATAAAGATGCCTCGGCGATCCGTTTGCAGTGTCTATATATCAGCAACGAGTCGCACGATATATATCTAGCAACTTGGATGCCCAGTGGGGGCATCAGTCGTTGGCCAGCGATCGCCGCTGCAGCTCTACCATCAACCATGGATGTCGAACGTGTCCTGGAGAAGTGCGGGAACTTTGGCCGCTATCAGATTATGCTGCTAGGACTTTATGGATACACGAATATAGTGTCCTCGCTGCATTACTTCTCACAGACAATCATCAGTTTTACTCCTGATCACAGGTAAGCTGGATCGCTTGATCATGTGTCGATCCTCTCATCCATTTGCACTCTCTGTCCAGATGCTCTCTGCCCGTTGAAGAGTTCTCGGAGAATGCCACTTCGCTGTTGGATTCCTGCAGCTACATCCAATGGGACGACACTGATCTTTCCACGCAACGGGAAACCAAATGCCATTCGTGGCATTTCGACAAAGAAAGCGGCTACGAGAGCATCACCACAGAGGTTTGTTATCCCCAAAAGTAGAAGACACTTTCTGCAGCTCCCACTGACACTCGCCTCCACAATTGTGTTGCTCCCAAACAGCTCGAGTGGGTCTGCGATGATGCCTACAAGCTGGCCGTGGGTCAATCCTTCTTCTTTGTCGGCTCCGTGCTGGGCACAATCTTCTTTGGCTATCTGGCGGATCGCATCGGACGACTGCCGGCCTGTGTCATAACCACGCTGACGGGTGCTCTTGGCGACTTTCTCACATCCTTTGTGACATCTTTGCCTTGGTTTTCCGCTACTCGTTTTGTGTCCGGCCTCTCCACGGATACCCAATACGTGTTGATGTATATTTTGGGTAAGTATTTGGTGGACAACTCCTGCCGGAATCCATCTCTAAAGGGCCCTCTTCGTTGCAGTCTTTGAGTACCTCAGTCCGAAGCATCGCACCTTTGGCCTAAACATCATCCTCGCTGTCTTCTACTGCTTCGGGCTTATGATCTCCCCCTGGATGGCTATTTGGCTGGGCAATTGGCGCACGTATCTGTGGGCTGCCTCCCTACCTGCCTTGGGTGTGCTCGTGTATCCTTTTTGCCTGTTTGAGAGCGTCGAGTGGCTGCTGACCAAGCACAAGTTCGACCGGGCTGTCCACTGCCTGAAACGCATTGCCAAATTCAATGGCCGGCAGGTGGAGGACTCGGTTTTCGATGAGTTTGTCAAGCACTACAAGGAGAAGAAGAACCGCGTGGAGACGACATCCTCGGATACGTTTATGGGAATGCTAAGGACACCGCGATTGAGAAAGTTTACCATCATTTTGTTCCTCAAATCGTGAGTGGATCGGGATCTCTACTCTCTTGGCCGTGGTTATCTTACCTCTTTGCTCTCTTCCCTTAGAATGATCATCACGGTGGCCTTTGACATACTGAGTCGCAATGTGGAGGGTGTGGGCACCTCTCCCTTCCTGCTCTTCTCCTACACTGGCTTCTGCTACCTCCCCGCCGGCCTCACCATCATCTTCTTCCAGAACATCATCGGCCGCAAGGGCATGGCCTGTGCCTCGCTCTTTGTGGGCGCCATCATCACAGCGGCCACGGGCTATCTCGTGGCGACCCTCGATCCCTCGGAGTATGCTCTGATCCTGGCGTTCATGGTGGGACTGGGACGGTATGGGGCTGTCGTGGCCTACGACGCGGAGGCTCAGTATGCGGCAGAGATCATCCCAACGAGCGTGCGGGGGCGCGGTGTGGCCAATATCCATGTGGTGGGCTATGCCTTTGGCTTCTTCAGCTCGTACGTCATCTTCCTGGGCACCATTTTCAAGCCACTGCCATCGCTGTTCATCAGTGTGTTGCTCTTCATTGGAGCTGCACTGTGCCTGACGCTGCCAGAGACGCTGCACAAGTGAGTTTGGCACCCAAGGATCTACTTTCTCTATTTGCTACATCCATATTTTTCTTTAGAACCCTACCACAGACACTCCAGGAGGGTGAACTCTTTGCCAAGGATGAGAAATGGTATTTCTTTCCCTGCTTTCAGCGAAGAGAAAGCCGTAACAAAACCGAATCTCAGTTGGAGGCTGCCAATGTCACAACCAAATAGTTCTAAGAAATAACTGAAATAAACAAAAAATATATATAAATAAATATTTACTTTTGAATTGAAGACTTTAAGGAGATTTCATCATGCAAACTAAAGATCTGCTGGTTTTTGTTTGTAGGAAAACGACAGGCTGAATGCACTTTTCTGCAAGAGATTTTCTGATACAATAAAAACTAATCCCAAAGCCCAGACAGTCTGCCTGTAAAACGTTTATTCGCACCCTTAAGATAATAGATAAAACAGATCTTAAGGCCTGTCTGCTTTGGGGCTTAGATTTAACTGAGTATCACGCCGCTGGTTCCGGAACTTTTATGGTCACGCCTTCTACGTTCAGATAAATGAACTCTGTTGGATCTTTTCGAGAGGCTTCTCTGTCGCATTTTGTAATCTATACTATATATAATCTATATCTTTCTATGTAGATCCGCTATATCCAATAAAGATGACAGGCGACAAACAAAAGAATTCTTTGCATTCCTAATCCCCCCAAAAAACAACAAATGACGCTGAGGCGTGACTTACAGCATGGCAGCGGGCACGGAGCCACTGAACCAGCAGCTAAATCTATTATAAATCTAAGACAAAGTCACCAGCAGAACAAAATTTGCAAGGGGGGGGCAGTTGGCCAAGTGAAATGCCTGATAAGCGGGGGCCATCACACGACACAAAAGACGCAAAAGAAGCGAGCGGCTCCAAAAGAGGCAGTCAAGCCCAAGGGTTATGGGAATGAATGAATGAATGAATGAATAAAACACTCAATTAATGTTGTTAACATTACACAAATATATCTCGAATAACCTGTAAAGATCTCTTATAGATCCTCCATTCATTGGTGGCTGTTTTCGTTCACCTTTCTGAAGTTAGAGGCTGGAGTGTTAGAGACTCGCGAGTCGCTTAATCTCTGAATAAACATCACACACCCCAAACAGCAGCCGCAGCATCAGCAACAGCTACCAGATAGCTGGCAATCTCTAGTAGCTGTTACTAATTACACATCCTAATCAGAAGCGTACGCTTTATACTAAGTATAAAAGGCTCTGGTTTGTGGAAGCCAAGCGTCAAAATACTGCTCACCCCGAGACAGAATGTAGCTGCCTCACAGACAGAATCTCTCTGCTGCATTCGAATCCCTTCCCAGAAGCCTCAGTGTTTTGTGTTTTAATTCCAAGTGAACTTCCAGTTAGCAAAAGTGCAAGAATGGATTTCGATCGTGTGCTGGAAAAGTGCGGGAACTTTGGTAGATTTCAATTTGTAATACTCATCCTCTATGGCTATACGAATATTCTCAGTTCCCTGCATTATTTCTCGCAAACTTTGATTACCTTTACGCCAGAGCATTGGTAAGTCCCGCCAGACAATCCCTCTCCTTGGACCTACCTGAATCTCTCCTCTCCCCAGGTGCTCCCATGATGATCTGATGGGCCTCAGTGCCGAGGATCTGCGCTCTGTCTACTCCAATGTCTCCCATTCCTCGTGCACTCCACTCCAAGGCGTAATCAATGGCACTGGCATACCCTTGGACTCCGCGGAGCTCTGCCAGGACTGGATCTTTGAGCGTGAAAGTGGCTACGAGAGTCTCACCACGGAGCTGAAGTGGGTCTGCGACAAGTCGCACCAGCCGGCAGTGGGTCAATCCTTCTTCTTTCTGGGCTCTGTCGTGGGCACCATTACTTTTGGCTTTCTCTCGGATCACATTGGACGCCTGCCAGCCATGCTGATGGCCACTCTGTCCGGTGCCACAGGTGACTTTATGACCTCCTTTGTGCACACCCTGCCGTGGTTTGCCTTCTCCAGATTTGTGTCTGGTTTATCCACGGACACAATGTACTATCTGATGTACATTTTGGGTAAGACCGCAGACCGAGCTTTATCCATCCCTTAATTCATGTTTGTCTTCCTGCAGTCTTTGAGTACTTGAGCCCCAAGCGCCGTACCTTCGGCCTGAACATCATTCTCGCTGTCTTCTACTGCTTTGGCCTGATGACATCTCCCTGGGCCGCCATCTGGATTGGTAACTGGCGTCGCTACCTCTGGCTAGCCTCGCTGCCCGCTCTGGGAGTCCTCGTGTATCCGCTGCTCATCTGCGAGAGCGCCCAGTGGCTGCTCACGAAGAAGAAGTACGACGAGGCGGTGGCCTGCCTCAAGCGAGTGGCCAAATTCAATGGCAGACAGGTGGAGGACTCTGTTTTCGCTGAGTTCGTGAAGCACTACCGCGAGAAGATGAATCAACAGACGCAAGTAAACAAACAGAGGGACACGTTCTTGGGCATGTTCAGAACTCCACGACTTCGTCGGTTTACCCTAACTTTGTTGCTGAAGTCGTAAGTGATTCGAGAAGCTAACATAGTTCAAGTTCTCACCATATTTCATGTGGCTCTCCGCTTAGTGTCATCATTACCCTCTCGTACGATGTAATCAACCGCAACATGGAGGGTCTGGGCACATCTCCCTTCAAGCTGTTCTCCCTGACATCCAGCGTGTACCTCCCAGCGGGCTTTGCCATCCTACTGCTGCAGAACCGCATCGGCCGCAAGGGTATGGCCTGCGGAGCGCTCTTTGTGGGTGGCATCATCACTGCCGTCACGGGCTTCCTCATTGCCTTCCTCGATCCCAAGGAGAATGCCATTCTGCTAGCCTGCATGGTGGCTCTGGGACGCTTTGGCAGCACCGTTTCCTACGATGCGGAGATCCAGTATGCGGCAGAGATCATTCCCACCAGCGTGCGCGGTCAGGCTGTGTCCAATATTCATGTGGTTGGACTGGCCTCCAGCTCGCTGGCATTCTATGTGATCTATCTGGCGCAGTACTACAAGCCACTGCCATCGATTTTCATTAGCTGCTTGATGTTCTTTGGCGCCGCTTTATGCCTGTCTCTGCCCGAAACGCTGCACAAGTAAGTCCGAATGGTGGAGATCCTTTGGCACTGTCGAATAATCCTCTCTTTTTGCTCTGCTAGAAAACTCCCCGAAAGCCTGGCCGATGGTGAGGTATTTGCCATGAACGAGAGCTGCTTTTACTTTCCCTGCTTCTACAAGCGCCGCAATGGCCTCAGAAAGCACGCGGATCCGCAAGTCTGAACCCTAGAGAACACCCCTCCTCCAACTGATTGAAACTGAATGAAACTGATAACTGAATGAAACTGATAATCTGATGATAAACGAATAACCTGATGATGAGCCCAGCATAATTGTTGGGTTTCGCCCGTAACTGAATGGTCTGATAGGTAGTATTACTCATGTGAAGAATGCATAGTAATAGTAAACCAAAACCGTTGTTTAGAATGCACTCTTAAATGTATCTTATATAACTATCCCAAATATTGTGTACCCCAAAACAGAACTGCTTAATCTATCCATTTTCTTCATGTTTTCTATAATATACAAATACCATATTAAATAAAATATCTACTATATAACCTGAATGTATTCTGATCTTTGATTTTCATCGCATATAGCATCGCATTCTGTTCGTTGATGGACAGCTTAAAATATTTCATAGTTTCTTAGATATTTCAATCCCTTATATATGCTCATATGCTTAAGTTTGTGGTGGACTTGGTGCAGTTCCTTTTCTGCTGTCTTTTTGGATTATAAACTGTCCATGTCATTCTACGAACCATCAAATATTAATCCAATCTCAAATTAATAGCAGAAAACTCTCTCCCACAACACATTCAATTATCGTAAATATCATCCCAGAAGCAAACTTTTTGTATAATATCTTTTTTTGTTGTTTTAAATTATGTTTTTTGCATTGTATATTTTATGGGTTTGTTTCTGTTGTTGTTTTTTCTCTATATGGTAGATATAATATAATTATTATCAGTTTTTTAGACGATACTTTTCTGTTTCCTTTTTTTTGATTTTGATCGAAAGATCGAAATCAAATCGAAATAATGAAGTGAATATTCAATAGTTAAAGGAGAAGGAGGAGGAAGAGTCTTATATAATTATGTACATACTTTTCTTAGGATTTAGGTATTCAAAAATTGTTTCATTCGTTTTGTAAGTGATTTTTGTGCCGCTTAAGTGTTAACTATATGATTCCGTTCTTATACACAATGGGAGCTTTTGGAAACAAACAATTGTCTACGTTCTAGAAAATTACAAGCTAGAGGCTTTTAGATTAAAGATAGAGTATACAGTATACAGTATATTTATATATCTATATATGTAAGTATGTATATAAGAAAAGGCTGAGCCACACAATATACATTTGTGTAGGCATTCAAGTGACAATTGTTGGGGGGGGGGAGCCAAAAGATAATGAAGTAGGATTTTTAGAGGAAAATACAATTGTTTAGCTAGACTATAAACTATGTGAAACATCGAGCCATTGCCTGCTGTTTCAGTGCTTGGCATCCTTGAGGGCCTGCTCCTCGCGGTCGGCATCGATGAGGGACTGCTTGCGCTTGCCGTTCGAGGATGATTCCATTTGCTTGGCATCGATTAGCGAATGCTTCCGCTTGTACTTCTCCAGCTCCGAGTCGGACTCCTCGTCGTCGTCGTGACTGTGCTGAAGGCAAGGGAAATCAAACATGCGCTCGCCCTTGCCAAAGACCTCGCCCTCCTCAATGGTGGTGGGTAGGCTCCTGCAAGAAGTCAGCAAATTAGCTACATTCAGGCTTTAAACTGTAGTAGATCCACTTACCTATTCAATGTCTCTGGCAGCAAAAGGCACACAAAGGAACCAGCAAAGAACAGCACGCCCAGAATGATCGATGGCGCGGCCTTGAAGAAGGTGCCCAGCCAGAGGATGTATGGGGCCAGGAAGGAGGCCGCAAATCCTGCCACATGCACGGCCGCCACACCCTGTCCCCGCACACACGTGGGTATTAGCTCCGTGGCGTACTGGGAGCCCGATTCGTAGGAGATGGCCACACCAAACCTCGCGGCAATCGTGAGGCAGGCGAGGAGTATGGCATTGTGATTGTGCTGCTGGTACGCAATGGCTATGCCAGAGGCGGCGGTGAAGAGGCCACCCACCAGCAGGGAGCCCGAGGCCATGCCCTTGCGCCCTATGCGATCCTGCAGCAGGACGAGCAGTATACTCGAAGGCAACACGGCCAAGGCACTTAGCGAGAACATGATGAACGGAGAGATGCCCATGCCCTCGACATTACGGGATACGGCATCATAGCAGAGAGTGATTACCATGCTGTAGAGAAAGGGGAAATTCAGTCAGTATTTAGAGGATAAAAGACGAATCTTTCTTGTGGCGGACCTCTTGAAGAAAAGTATAAGCGTATTCTTGCGCATTCGAGGTGTGCGGAACATGTCCAAGAGTGTTGCAGTCTTCTTCTCATCGCCGCCCTGCATCTCGCGCGTCATCTGGCAGTGGCGTCGGAACTCATCGAATTCCGCCTGGGTCACGCGGCATCCGTTGAACTTTGCGACACGCTTCAGTCGCACAATGGCGCCATCGATGTCATTGCGCGTCACCAGCCACTGGGCGCTCTCCTGCACCACAAAGTAGTACAGCACCACGAGCAGGATGGGCAGAGAGGTGCACGCGAGGTAGATCTGCCAATGGCCCGCGAGTACCGCCAGCCAAGGTGTGAACACGAGACCCAAGCAGTAGAACAGACCCACGGCCATGTTCAGGCCCAATGTCCGCATGCTGGGGCGTATATATTCGAGGACTATACAAGGGAAGACTCATGTTAGATTCACGTTTGCTTCATGTTTGATTCAGTCATGATTCCTACCTATAATATACATGAGATAAAAGTTCGTGTCTGCTGCCAGTCCGGATATAAATCTACACAGTGTAAAGGTGCCCACGCTCTTCGTGAAGATTGTGGAAAAGTCTCCAGCAAAGCCACAGAAGTTCGAGAGTATCAGCGCTGGCACGCGTCCTATTTTGTCAGAGAGCAAACCATAGAACAGAGTTCCCACAACAGATCCAATGAAGAACAGCGACTGTCCAATACGTGCCTTGTAGGCGGAATCACAGACCCAATTTAACTAACGGAAATAAGGATAGAAGAAACATTAGTATGGGTTATCCCTTCATCCCCTACTTGCGGGCTTACCTCTGTATTCATTGATCTATAACCAAAATCATAATTATAGATCCATTTGTCGCACTTTTCCTTGCTGACTGTGACGTTTGACGGGCCATTGATATCCTCCAGGCGTGTGCATGAGGACTCCTCACCAAACTGCGCATAGATCTCACCGATCTGCTTGTAGGTCATATTCACCAACTTGTCGTGATAGCACCAATGATCTGGCACAAAACTAATGACTGTCTGGGTAAAGTAATGCTGTAAAATGGATTGGCAAACATTAGAAATAATCATTAAAAATCAAAGAACCACTTACCATCGATACGATGATATTGATGAAGCCAAAAAGGGCAAGAATCATGAATTGATAGCGATTGAAATCGCCACATTTGGCCAGAATCTGATCGAAGTCCATTTTTAAATTCAATTAAATGGGAAATCCAAGGGAATTGTGTTGAGTCTTGGGGCTTTTGTTTGTACTCTTAATGAACGGTTGAGGGTGTTTGAGTGTGTGACGTTGTTGTTGTGACGCTGTTGTTGTTGTTTATTTTTGTGGGTGGGGAAATGCCATCGGTCTTCACATTGGTTTTCTATCACAAATCACATTTGTTCCTTTGTCTATAAAAATGGAAAGAATCCAATATTTAGACATCATAAATAAAGTTCATTGAACGGAAATATCATTTTGATATATTTTTTCTACAAAAATAAAGTTGTTTTGTTTATTTGGGTCTGCATTTGGCTAAGATAATTGCTTAAAAACTCAAGCGTCATTTTATCAGACATAGAAATTAATTAAATTGCTACCAAACAAAAAAAAAAAACAAAATATGAACTAAATATTTAATGAAATATTTTTTAATTGGTATTCTAAAGGTTAATTCTGGGAAGTGGTAAAAGGGAAATTGGGTAATTGGATACAACTTTTGACCCATTAATTTTTATGGGACATCAAAAGAAGGCTTAGAAATAGCGAAAACCGAAGAGTAAAATCAATGAAATTAATAAAAGAATTCCAAAATGATCTAATCAATAACCCTTTTCGAGACTCAACAACAAATGTTTTCTTTTATATGGAGCCCATGTTTTCCCTCGCTAATTGTCTTAAAAAATGGCACTAGAAATGTCATCCACAAATAAATAGTTTCATTTAACACATCAATCGTCACATTCGCGAGAAAAACAATTGGAAAAACGTGCGAAAAACGTAACAAATTTCTCCCCACGTTACGTGGAAAACATATGGGCAGAGCAAGCCATCGATTAGAACCAATTCTGGTATGATTGGGTTAATAAATGACTACCGTATGCTAATCCGAAAGATAACACCCAAAGATAACCCATAATCGATCGTCAGATTCAGAGGCAAACAAGCGTGTGGCATGTGTGGCATGTGTGGCATGTTGAAAAAACTAAAATTACTTACAACCCGGCAAACAGTCGTACTGGCCTGGCTTATCACAGGGCACAAATATTTATATAGACGTTCGTTTAGATAAAAACAAAAGAGCACCACAAAAAAACCACCACAGACCATATAGTAGATCGCTGACTAATGGCAGAGACTGTGCTGGTTGAGGAGACTAATCTGGAAGCCTGTTGTCAAGTCGGCAACAATCGACTTTCAATAGACGGGGAGCACGTGTCGTTGGAAATGGAATCACTCTGTCATTTTTTCTAGGAATACATTTGTATTATTTACCCAGACAATTTGTTCGGGCTTGGTTTTTGCTACTGATTTGTTTTTACAACGAAAATAAATAGAAACCATTTTCGAAAGCTGTATATGCATATTTTTTTCGGCTAAATGCAACTGGTTTGCCGTGCTGGTCTTTACCCCCTCCCTGCTGGTATTCGCAGTTACACTGGTAACACCCCCCTTCATTGCTTGGAGTTCTCGCCTAAGAACTGAAACATTTTGTTGTTTTTGTTGAAAAATAAAAACATTCCCAAGGTTTCCTCCGACTACACAAACAAAATCTCGTTTAATGTTGGATTTTTCAAGGCTTCAAAGCATAACCTAATTTCTTGACAGCAATTAAAGTCAACTTCTTAGAATATTATATAAATTGTGCAACATTAATGCAGGAAAAGCTAATCATTTTTTATAAACTTTCTCAGAAGAAAAATCTGTAACAGATTTTTAAAATATCATTCTTAATTCTCATGGTTTATTTTACCAAACACATCCTGGTGCTGTCAAACTTCATTCTCCTGCTAGCATACAAAATTACAAGTGACATTACAGGGCCAAAAGCCTCCATTGTACAGAAAGATTTCCTGCAACAAAGTGTCTTCCAACTTTGTTGCAGTCCAACAATTAGTTGCACATTTAGTCACTTTCATTAATAAAACACTAAAAAGCACTAAGTGCGCACTAGACAAAGTAAACTTTCAGGATAAACATTTCACAAAGATTATCCATAATTTATCACCTAACGAGACTTTTCTGAAAGGACCACTAATCTAAATTTTGCAAAGAAATAGGTTTTACTTATCAAAAAGTAAACAATGGCGAAAACTGTAAAAGATGATTAATAATTTATGGAACATTTCCTTTCCCTTGCCCTAATTAAATTACACAATAATCACACCAAATTAATTACCTCAATGTTCATGGAAAAACTCTTTTCTTCAAATGGTTGTGATGGGGAAAATGGGGTTTCCAATTAGAAAATGTAAAAATGTTGTTGTTTACGAACGATCCGCACAAGGCGAAGCAGACAAAAAATGAATGTTGTTTAATTTCAAAAACAAAATTCTTGCAGCGTAGAAACAAGCTAATTTCCTCTGTTGTGCCACTTGATGTTTATCTTCCAAATACAATTCGCATATATCTTCAGAGATTCTCTGTATAAAATGTATACAACGAGAGTTCAAGGAACGCTTTGCTCACACGCCTCAAACAAAGCCAATAAAAAAACTGAGATGTTTGTTCTGCTATTTTCGAAAATGATTTAGGTTTGTTTTTATCCCGGAAAACGCACACACAAAACACTCACTAACGAATGGATATAGTTTTATTTTATAGTTTCGTCTTGTTGTTGTTAACTTTTTGCCGAATTATGTGAGGCACCCGTTTAGGCCCCTTTTTGTCGGCGGCCGACGGTAGTGTCTGAAGCGTAGTAGTATGTGCGATGGTGCGTTGTGTATCCACTGAATGCTCCTCACAGACTGCGCTGCCAAATGCCGACACGATTGTTTATTAAAAACTGCCAAACAGCTGTTCTCGGACACTCTCAGAGAGCCACAGCGTTCCACACTGTGTGGAGGGGCTGACTGGGGGACTGCTGACAAGACACAGGTCATAATTAAATTCAAAAGCTGTGAAAAAGCTAACTCGAGTCTTGATTTTTACGACCACCACACACCACACAAAACACACGACAAAAGGCAATAGGCAAGGTGAGGTGTATATTTAATTGGATTTGATACGATTTCGATTTGATTTACATCCCCATATCCCCTGGTATAGTACTCCCAGCGAACCCTTGTGATCTCTAAATCTCTTGAATCTCTCGATGCTCATGTCATGAGGGAAATTGCCCTGTTAATTGTTTAAACAAATTCAAAGTACGAATCGTATCAGTCTGTTTTATTTAGTTGCCCTAAAAATAAGTTACCCATCTTGCGGTTTATCTTTTACTTCAATTTTTGGCGGTAGTCTGTAGCTTGAAGATTAGGCAATTTCTTTTCCAAATAAGAAGATACTAAAATATCTTATCTTTCAGTGGGGGAAGTTCCTGCCCTGATTCATGCTCTTATTATTTTGCTAATTGTTTATACTAAATGTTGCATTATCTGGCCATTTTGTAATATTTTTGCTCTCTTTTTATTTGGGATTTTTTGATCTCTGTTTTTTTTTGGGTCGCTTTCTTTTTTGCTGTTTTTCGGTTTGTTTTTTTAAATGCGGTTTTTTTGGGGCAGCAGGCGCCACCGAAAAAGATGACAAATTGTTAGTCACAAAACCACAAAAGCTACTGGCATGAGTAAAGTGAAGGGTAAATAAATTAACCTTCTTATTTAGTTAGAGACTAAAGATAGAACCACTTTGTTGTGGGTTGGGACAATACATCTTGGGGCTGAATAAATATTTTGAAACATTGTTTGATCTTTAAAATAGAATAAACAAGAAGCACAACAGTAAGAAATTCTCTTTAAAGTTGCAACTGAAAAAGAGATTAAAGTTTCAGAAATTTCTTACTAGAAACGAACCTAAAGCAAACCCTTTAGCGAGAGAAAACCAAACAATGATCATACTTTTAGCTTTAAATTAGGCAATCATGCAAAAAAGCAGAGAAAGCGAATTTTTTTTTATATATAAAAGATTAAATAAATACAATACGAGTTCTTTGGGATACGTTTTACTGCAAGCTTTGTATAGAAATTCATTTCTAGAAAGAAATTATCTCTTAAGGAATTATAGGATTTCTATTGCTTAGTAAAATACCTCCTTCTCAATTAGAAATCAAACAATTTTATAAGACCCTCCAAGTACTAGTAGTCAGAGCACAATAAGACATAAATATCGTATCAATAGTCTGAAATCAAAGCTCAGGGCTAATTATCTAATGCAATTATAAACCAATAAAGTTCAGTAAGGCAACAAAAAGAAGGAAGGAAAGCGTACTACCACGGCGATTAGATAATGGCCAAAAGGCAGCACCCATGCTACGAGGGGATAAGTTTTATGGTCTGCGGTTTGGGAGGGGAATGTGCTAACAAGAGAGTTGGTAGTACTCGTACGAATACGATCATGAGTATGAGTAGTGCGTAGTGGATCCAAAAGTCAATGCATATCGCACTTTTCTCCCGAAAAAGCAAAAAGCAGACACGTGCTTCCCTCTTTGGCGTGGCAACTGTACTTTTTGGATTTTAATGTACTCAATATACCCATATATGCATATATGTACATATGTAAGCATTTCCCTTGCATTTTCCTTTGTGTTCAAGAGACAATAAAAGAACAAAGAAAAGCCCTGGCCGTGCAACTCTTTTCTTGTCTCCAATTTCTAGGGAAGTTCTCCGGACAATCGCCAAATTACTCATGCGACATGGTATCCGAGGCCCTTACTTGAGGGGATTTTCATTGAATTACGAGTATGTGACTAATATTTGGCTTTTGGCTGATCCGACAATCATTGTATTTACACTCTCTATCTAACTTTTCCACCTACTTGGGAAAACGACAACAAAAAAGTGCACATAAATCCAAAAGGCGTTAACTAAAAAAGGCGAGAATTTCGACCATCTTTGGATGTGTATTAATTTCATAAATCAATACAAATAAAATTGAGTTTATGCTTATGCAAAGGTGTTGGGTGATTCGGATTATAGTTTAAGATAGATTTTGGCTTAAAAAGCAAACAAGGAAGAAAATCTGGGCAGCTTTCTTCTCTTCTCTCGTAAAAAAATCACTTTTAACACGTTTTTCCTTACTTTCTGCCAAAAAACAATTTGAGGAACTACTATTTTAGGTCCTTGAATCGCGCTTCATCTTTTTTTAGCACTCAAAATCTTCGAAAATTCACAAACACTCTAAATTCGACCCACAAATATATTATTGTTGCGGTCTGCTGCTGTTTTATTTTCACACAAACTTGCGAAATATTTCGAAA